TAGATTCACTGCTACAGCGCCATCTAGCAAAACTAAATCAAACTAGCTGCTGATGTGATTCTAAGAATATGCTAGTATATCCAAACTTTTAAATACGCACATTTAGTATGGTTAAAATTTCAATTTCGGTGTATTTATGAAAATATGAAAATATTTTGAAGCAATTAAAAAAATTACCATCAGTTGCACCGATCGGGCTTCAAACCGTGACTTCTCGATGGAGCGTCATGTCGCTAACACACTACGCCACCTCACTTCTAAAAGGAGCGCTGGCAAAACTCAAATAGATTCACTGCTGCAGCGCCATCTACCAAAACTAAAGGAAACTAACAGCTGATGTGATTCAAAGAATGTTCTAGAAGAAGTTTGAATGTATGTGTGCACACGCATACGATGCTGTTGTAGCTGCTGCACGTGCGTTTGTTAATTGGCCAAATATTTGATGATTTTTAATTAATTTTTGACTGAACGGAATTTAATGAAACTTTCAGCATATGATCTACATATTATATTGAATATTTGAGAAATTTAAAAAAATGAAAAATCATTCACAATTATCTACAGTGGCATCTGACTTGAACTTGAATGTTTTTACTCGATAAAAACATAACGGGATGATTTATCGAGTTTTAAAAGCAAACTTGACGTCCGCGCTGTATATACGCGTTCAAACATACGGACAGACGGACAGGGCCAAATCGACTCAGCTCGTCGCCCTGATCAAGAATATATATACTTTGTGGGGTCTGCCCCGCCTCCTTCTCCCTGTTACATACATTTCAACAAAACCATTATACCCTGATTTCCCATTGAAAATGGGTTCAGGGTATAAACAAAAAAAAAAAACAATTAAGAAAGCTCTAGGCGAGACTTCTCGACTACGAGATCCCCGGAACCCTTGGAGCAACTGATATTTCAATAATTATTCGCACATGCACACATGCGAATTTAATTGTTTAATAACTTTTCTTGTGAGTAGACTATGCTCATAAAACTTTCAGATTATGATTAAAACATGGATATGCATGCTAAAGCCCAAGTCTCTAGTATTTGAAGTACGCCTTTTACAAATATGTGGATGAGGGGGTGAATATAGGGGTGGGAAGTAAATTTTAACAAAAACCCAAATTGTATAAAGTGCATCTAAATATATGTTTAACATTTTGACACTCTAGCTTTAAAGATGTAGGAGATATAATTTCATAACTGATTTTCGATAAGGCTTTTTATCGATAACAAAATAACGGGATGAGTTATCGTTTTTTGGAGATAAACTCGATATGTGCGCTCTCTATAAGGACATTAAAAAAATTTAAGTTTTTACCTCTTATATCTTCTGAAATCGACGCGTTCATGCATACGGGCAGACAGGCGGACAGGGCCAAACTCAGCTCGTCGCCCTGATCAAGAATATATATATACCTTGTGGGGTCTGCCACGCCTCCTTCTGCCTGTTACATACATCTCAACAAAACCACTAACCCTGATTTCCAATTTTCAATGGGTTCAGGGTATAAAAAACAAGACTAAAAATTTATTTTCTATTTGTTTTACAATCGTTTTTAAACTACGATGAATTCTGATCGTAAACAACTATGTCACGAAATTGTGGCGGCCGGTGATAATTATCGAAAATGTTATTGATACTAGTGGCGATCTTGTGTTCAAAACGAAGCAAGCAATTTAACAATTTAAGTTTATTATTTATTTCCGGGATCTGTTTACGGCCATTTACATAAATAATCCGCGTTTGACTCCGGTGTAAAAGTTATTCCACCTTAATTCAAAAACAGCAGGCAATGCAACGCACTAGTCGCAGAGTATCTTCTCACAAACGACGGCATTGCTTCGGCTTGGGTCTCCTTGTGTGATCGGCTCGAGAATAAGAGGCTGTTAGTCGACAGCCAGCTTAAAATCCTTCTCAATCTGTCCTAAGCCACCAAGGAGTCAGGCTCGGCTCTCAGACAGTTGCATAGCACTATGCACAGATGTATCACTGCAATCGAACATGCTCATATATCCACTGAGAATTAGGATTGCATTCTCGTGTTGCTGTGCGCCTCTAATTTGCCGGAAAAAATTCGATCTCTCTGGGAGCATTCATTAACACGAAAATCAGAAATCCCAGCCTGGCAGAACGTTAGTCACACTTAGCGAGCGCGCACGTGCTCTGGAGGCTATGGAAGGTGATCGTGCTGTTCCAAAGGTTCCAAACTCAACTCCTAGGTCTGCGAATCCTGCCCTTCTCAAACCAGTTAACTCCTTCACAACGCAAGTGAATTCGAAGAGTACAATGTGCGAACTGTGTTCAAAAGAGAGCCATCCAATCCGATTTTGCCCTCGGTTTCTCCAGCTGTCTATCCATGAACGAGAGGCATACATAAAAGCAAAGAATCTTTGCCTGAACTGCTTCGCTAAGGGTCACCAGTTACGAGAGTGTACCAGGACGCACAACTGTTTCAAGTGCAATGGTTGACATAATACCCTACTCCATAGGGACAATACTCCTCGGACCGCTGCTGCAGCAACAACAGCTATAGCTCCGACTCGTACTCAAGTTATGTCCAACGTCCAAACGTATCTGGCTGCCAACACGCGAGGTGTCCTCCTCGGCACGGGGTGATCAACATATGCCATTTCGGAACAATCTATCCCGCCCGTGCTTTAGTCGACTCAGGGTCCAAAGCAACCTTCATTTCTGAGCGGCTATTCCGCAAAATCAAGTTGCCATTCAAATCCGTGCGGACTCAAGTTTCCAGCTTGAATCAAGCAGTTACAGCTAAAGCTATGTAACTTTGACATTGGTTCTCCTTTGAAACCGAGAATACGAATCGAAGCTTTTGCTCTCGTCCTTCCAAATCTTGTCGGTAACCTCCCTTCGTCTCCAATTCCGCAACTCTTATTGAACCAGCTTCCGAACATTCAGCTAGCTGATCCTGAGTTCTATAAGAGTTCGCAAATTGATGTCCTTATAGGCGCGGATATCCTTCCGACTATCATTCAGGGAGGTTACCATCCGAATATTTGTGGATCTCTTTTAGGTCTAGAAACTGTTCTCGGTTAGGTACTGACTGGCCCATTTTCATGAACCTCACCGCAAATGGTCTCCTCCTTCACAACCCAAGTGGCCGTTCTGGATGACGGGAAACTTAAGGTTCCATCTACCGTAATTCTTCCATCCCGAGTTCCCGACAACACCACTACAAAAGTGAGGGTCGGTTTCAATAAGAGCCCGAATGATATTCTTCATTCAGGCCCAACATTCCAACCCAACCCCTGTGCTCCTTGTGCTGTCCAACTAACTTCCATGTTTTGTTCTAACGAGCAAGCAATTCAATCTCCAACTCATTTAATCTTCCAGATAAAGACGCCGTCATCAGAAAGCAGCAAGCGACGCGGTACCAATTCCTTCCAGTGCCGCGTATGACCAGGAGTCCACGGTCTCCGGAACTGCCAGCGTTTTCTGGGCCTTCCAGAGGAGAAACGTATGCGTGCGGTACTTATACATAAGTACTGCACGAACTGCTTGGCTGGCGAGCACTCAGGGCAATCCTGCCGCGACAAAGGACGTTGCAAAACGTGTGGCCAGGATCACCACACGCTGCTGCATCTCCAGGGATGAGCACGTCACTCCGCCTCGACTCCTAATTAGGCAGTCACAGCTCCGATGACGGCTTTGATCTGCACACCAAGAGGTCTCCAGCTTCGAACGCGCCGTCTTAATTTGCAATCCAAATAAAGACGAGGAAACTATAAAGGGGCGTGGCATATAGAAAAATACCCTGTAATTTTCACATTTGTTGACCGTAAGCATTCAAACTTTGCAGTTAGGTTACCGTTAGCTCGTTCTAAGAACTGACCAAAAATGAGGTGTCTACGCCCAGTAGGGGCGAGGCAAATCGGGAATTTTCTACAGTATTAGAGCGAAACTTAGTTACTAAATTGCTGATGGGATGTGAATGAGTATTCTGCAGTTGGGCGCTACCGAGGTTCTTAGTTACGTTCGTACTTGTTATACTCTGCACCCATTGAAAATGGGAAATCAGGGTATAATGGTTTTGTTAAATGTATGTAACAGGCAGAAGGAGGTTTGGCAGACCCCATAAAGTATATATTTTTCTTGATCAGGGCGACGAGCTAAGTCGATTTAGCCCTGTCCGTCTTTTCGTATGTTTGAACGCGTCGATCTCAGAAGATATAAAAGCTAGAGAATTCAATTTTTTCCTAAGTCCACGAGCAATCGAGTTTTTCTTCAAATATCGATAACTTTTTATCGATTAAACGTTATCGAAAACCAAAATAAATGTATATCTCCTACATCTTTAAAACTAGCCACCATATTTTTAATGTAGATTTATATGTACTTTTTGGAATTCCGAATTTTGTCAAAATTTACCCCCCACCCCTAATTCACTCCATCACCGACCTATTTGTAAAAGGCGTATTTGACTTGTGCTTTAGCAAGTGCACGCATTTCATTGTTATAATTACGATATGAAAGTTTCATGAAGATCGTATGTCCACAAAAAAAAGGTATTAAACAATTAAGTTTCCATAGTAAGACACCACTGCAGACAATGCGTGTTTATGCGTGCGTGTGCATCAATTGATCGGCTTCAGTCTCGAACGGAGATAATGGAACATTTCCTTAATCAGCGACGTCTTCCGGCACCATAATACATAGCGTCGATTTGCGGTGACCACCACTCACGTCGACAAGTATCGTGCGTCCAATTTGTAGTTTGAAAATGGTGTTTAATTTCAGCTGTTCCAGTTGGATAAAACTCGATGACTCCGACGCGCTCAAAGTTTGTGACAACCAGGCAGCGATTAACAGGTGCTGGGTGTACTAGTCCTCTCACTAGTAGTGCAGTATTCCTCTGTTTCCTCTGTGGCTTTGATATTGTACTGCTGCATACCCTTTTAATTTTTGCCCGATTGGCATATCGTCTCTGTTCTAAGTACAAAAGGTTTCTACAAAATCCATTTCCTAATATTTGTAACATTATATATTTACAGTAGGTCATGTATGGTAAATAATATAATTCTTATTTTTTGTTTATAGGATTTCGGTTGGAGACTAGACAAAAATAGCAGCAAATGTAAATATTTAGTGAAATCAATTAAAATTAAAGCAATTTATTTTTCGGCTGTCACCAGCTTATATTAAATACATGTGCATGTATATTTATAAATTTGTTAATATACATATATTGTTTTTAGTTGCGGTTTTAATTCTGGGGGTATCACTGGTGCAGGTTCAAGCTTTCGGGCAACTAAACGCTTAAACCGACCACTGAATTGTTTGCGAAATCCTCTGAAGCCTATTTTATCGGTAGCTACCAACATCTCCTGAAATTATAATAAAAAAAAAAGCAGATTAATATCTAAATAACTGAGAAGTTAAACGACTAGGGATTCGGCTAATGTATTTTCAGGGTATAATGGTTTTGTTGAAATGTATTTAACAGGCAAAAGGAGGCGTGACAGACCCCACAAATTCCGTATGTTTAAGCGCGTCGATTTCAGAAGATATAAGAGCTAGAGACTTCAATTTTTTTAAATGTCCGTATATACAGCACGGATATCGAGTTTATCACCAAAAATAGTTATCCCGTTATTTTGTTATCGATAAAAAACTTTATCGAAAGTCAGTTGTAAAATGATATCTCCTACATATTTAGAGCTAGACTCTCCAAATTTTAAATGTACACTTATATTGTATACAATTTCGGTTTTTTATAAAATTTACCCAACCCCTAATGTTATATTAACGACCTGAACGTTTCATGAGCAAAGTTCATCAACAAGAAAAATTATTAAGCAATTAAATTTCCATAGTAAGCCCACACTGCTGCCAATGCGTGTTAATGGTTGCATCCCTGAGTTTTTCTGTGTGTGAGTGTGTGTGTTTCTTATGTAAGCAGAAAGACTCTAAGAATTATTGTGAAATATAAATTCTTCGAAGGGTTCAGGGAATGTCTTAGTCGAGCAGTCTCGACTAGAGCTCAAAGGGCCGACGATTTTACGTCGCTATACCCGGAAGGCACTTTAACTATAACGAGCAAAAAAAAAAAAAAAAATATATATATATATATATATATATATATATTTTTTTTTTTTTTACACGGTTGCCACATTTGTAAAAGATTTTAACATAAATTATTTATAAATTTATTTCAATAACATGGTATAGAAACATTTGTGACACGCCACACAGTGAAGGCCTTTGCTCATTTTGCGTTGCAAAAATCATAACTTTTGAACCAAGCAATGTATTTTAAAAATTTTAAAATTCGACAGAGAATCCGTCAAGCTATAAATGACCTAACGCAGAGGGTAATGCGCTTACAGGGTATTTCACAGTTTAACCTCAAACATGATCGATAATAAAATATCGGGTGTACTTATCGATATTTAGAGATACATACATTACATACATTTTAACAAATCTATTATACCCTGATTTCCCATTTTCAATGGGTTCAGGGTATAACAAGTAAGAAAGCTCTAGTCAAGACTGCTCGACTACGAGATCCCCTGAATCCTTCTAGCAACTGATATTCAATAATTATTCGCATATGCACACAATAAGACATACGTACGCATGCATAAACACGCATTGGCTGTAGTGGTGGCTTACTATGGGAACCTAATCGTTCAATAAAATTTCTTGTGGATTTACTTTTTCCATGAAACTTTCAGATTACGATTATAGCATAGATATACATGCATTTGTTAAAGCACAAATCTCTAGTATTTAAGATACGTCTTTTACAAATATTTAGGTGAGGGGGTAGATATAGTGGTGGGGATAAATTTTAACAAAAACCGAAATTGTATAAAATGCATATTTAAAATTTGACTCTAGCTTCAAAAAGGTAGGATATATATTTTTAAAGCTGATCTTCGATATCGATAACAAAATATCGGGGCAAGTTTTCAATATTTGAAGCAAAACTCTATATGCGCGTGGTATACACGGACCTAGGAAAAAAAATTTCAGGTCTCTAGCTCTTATATCTTCTGAAATCGACGCGTTTAAACATACGGACAGACAGACGGACAGGGCCAAATCGACTCAGCTCGTCGCACTGATCAAGAATATATATACTCTGTGGGATCTGCCACGCCTCCTTCTGCTTGTTACATACATTTCAACAAAAACATTATACCCTGATTTCCCATTTCAGGGTATCAAAACTGAAATGGCTATATTTCTGGCTATTCTTGAATTTGATCTAGCCGTTTGCCATGCTCGTGCAAAATGTTTGCGTTTTCGATATTATTTGTGAGAAGGGTATGAAAGCGTTAGTGCGCATAATGAAAATGTTTTCACGACGTAGCATGCACACACACACTTACAATATGCTACATGTACTATGAGCATTTGTTTGCCTGTGTGCGAATCTCTTGTTGCCTGTAGCAATTTTAAAGCCCAGCATTTGCATTCGGTCGATCTTGTAAAGTGCGATGCTCACAATTAAGGGATATCACTTGTAGAAGCATTTGTATGCTTGTGTGCATGAGTATATATGCGTGTGTGTATGGCGTGTGCCTACCACAACTTAGAATTTTATGAACGATTTTGAGTTCGAATTGCAGTCTCGTTTATATGCAGATGAGTCGAAATTTAATATATTTGCGTCGGATTGGATGCAATATGTTTGGCGCCCACCAAATACCGAACTCCAATAACAGCACCTAAAACTAACTATGAGCTATGACGATGATGGCAGTGTCCTGGACCTGCATGACGTCTTCGGGAGTTGGAAACTTAGTTTTCATAGATGGTAATATGAACAAATATATGTATCTATCCTTTTCAAAGGAGAATTCGGTCCAAAGTGCCGAAAAACTTGGTCTAGAGGGGCTATCCCTATTTCATCAGGTTAATGCCCAAAACATAAATAAACTCTTGGTTGATCTGGAACTGTCCAATGTGGTCGATCCACTAGCCCAGTGGTCATACCTAAACGGTATAGAACATTTTTGGTCAAAATTGGGCGTGGCCATTCGGAAAAGGTCAATATCCAATAATCACTAAAAATGTTCTCTAGATGATTTATGGTTAGCGGTATAATGAACAAATTAATTTTGTATAGACAAAAAACGTACCGGGTTTATATGATAGATATGAGGCGATGGTGCTTTTGGAGGAAACGTCCACTCTGGATTGTCTTCTACATTTCCGTGCTCAACAACTTCAGCAGCAATGCCACTAGTTCGTAGAAATTTTACATGTTGGTTGTCTTCAATAAAATTGTTACAAATTTTATTCGGCTGGGTTTCAGAATTTTCATAACTGTTTAGACCCTGATAATCTCCATTGTCCTGAAGCTCCTTGACTTCACTTTTTTTGTATTCACTACAGGTTTCGTCGCGTTTGCGTAATTTATTCCGAACAAGTCGCATTGTTAGTGTCCCAGTGTGGCCTTTTACCATTTCAGAATCAGGCGGTTGTATAATTAAACTAACCTCTGTAACAGGAAACCTTCTATGGGCAATTATATAATTTTAATGTTGAATTGCGTTTTAATTCTGTAGCACAATAAAATGTTTCAAATCCGCGAATTGTTAAGTAGCCAAAAATATACTGACAGCTCCAGAATTTCACCATTCAAAACTCAGTTTGACTAGAATTAATATCGATTTTCTAAATGTGGGCCGACATATTTGGGTGGTGTATACTGCAGACTTGCGTTGATATTGATGTTGATATGCTTAATTATTTATGTTCCCGTCTTATATATTTTTTATTGATACAGCCTTTCGGCTGTAATTATTGCTAACTGTACGCCACGAGATAGTACATTTGGCTTAACAGCTTTGTTCTTCCTATTTTATATTTCGGAACAAGCAGTTCACTATACAATTATTGTTTTGACGATAACTTTCACAATCTTTAGTCACAAATTTGCTATTGCATTTCCTCAACAGATATACATATGTATGTATAAATGTAGTTCCTCGGAACATGAGGTACAAAATGATTGACTTCACTATAGTCCACACAGAATGTATCTGAGTAAAAGTATAACAATAATTGTCACGTATTCGTAGTGCTAGACAATGCACAAACACTGTTAATGATACGTGGGTATTCTCTTTTATTTTCTCATTTTCACTCTCTTATACACCACGCTCAACCCAGCGGGAATATTAAATTATGTATGTTTCCAGTTTTTTTAATCTCAGCTATTGATAATATTCGGTAGTATCGTACCACATACATATATTTATGTATATAGTTCCTCTTCATTTATACATACACTTCATAAATGGATAATTATTATTCTAAATTTACTTATGTTTGTAAAATGGACATATTTCGAAACTACCGTGGTAATGTCCAGATCACATAGTTGTTTCTTACTGTGATACTGTGTACAATATTTCCCTCTCGCTAAACGTGAAACAAAATGACGTCACGTTTGTGTGGAATTTTCATGGCTTTATAGGGTTGCCTACACTCTCAAATGAATCGATTTTACAACACTTAGATTTAAAGATTACATTAGCAAAATTTATTTCTTATTTCTTTTTTGCCAATTCTTTTTATTTATTTTTATTTTTTTATTTTAAATTCAATAAAGTATATATATATAGAAACAATTTGATGTATTTTATACTATATAGTAGTGCAGTAAAACTATCGGTTGAACTATCGATCTATCGAATATTTATATTTCTGCGTCCATATCGATTGTTTTTTATACTATCGATGGAGATGATATCGTGCGTTGAACATCAATTACTTTGGTGCAACTTTGCAAGGCTTTTTTTGGTAAGAAATACATTTATAAGAAGCAATTAAGTATAAAAATAAGTATTTATTTGTAGGTAAATTTTCGTTGGTGTTGGTGGCTGGACAGATTATCACGGAATGACGAGCTGCCTTAAAAGCTAAGCATGTGGACATGCTTGTCCTTCTTAATCATAACTCTTGGATCTTGGCAGAAGAATAAAGGCCATGCATTTAATTTTAATTTTATCTAAACTTTTTTTTGTTATAGTCCATGAAGGATCTCATTATTGTTTATTAAAATTTTTATTTTTATTTTTAAATATGCATTTATTTTTTGTTTTTGAACTTGAAAATATTTTCGATAGTACTATCGATGGTATTGAATAATTGTTGTAAAACCATCGAAACTATTGAATGCTGCAACCATCGATAGTTTTACAGCTCTACTATGTAGTACAAAAGTATTCAAGCGTTGAATGTTGGAGCTGTATTTGATGGAGCCATTGATACTATCGATATTTTAAAAATCACTGATGATCGATGCTTTTGTAGCACAACTATTTAGGTCTGTCCTAATATATATATCTCCGCCAATTGGGGCGTGGCAAATCGGATAAAACTGTATCTCCTAAAGTTGTAAACCTGGAAAGCTGAAATTTTGCACGTCAGCTAATGTTAAAAAGTCTAGAGACAAAATTATAAGTCTACGCCCTTAAGGCAAATCGGACCCGAAGATATGGTGATTTTTTATATTCTGCTATATTTTGGATACTATTGATGCCAGAGACCTCAAATTTTGTATATATACTCGGACTGATCACCCAAGACCAAAAAGCTTTGTCGGATATATGTCCGCCCACACGGGGCGTGGCAAACCGCAAAAGTTTATATCTCCTAAACTATAATAGCTAGAAGCTTCAAATTTGGATAGATGAGTTACTGGTAGATTTACTGGCCTCCTCTATCGATTCCCCAAAAAATAATTTTTACGCCTTTTTAGGGGTGTGGCATATCGAAAAATACCCTGTAATTTCACTTTTTTTTAGGGTAAGCATTCAAACTTTGCAGTTAGGGTACCGCTATCTCGTTCTAAAAACTGACAAAAAATGAAGTGTCTACGCCCAGTTGGGGCGCGGCAAATCGGAAAAGCTTGTATATTCTACAGTATTAGAGCGAAACTTAACTACTAAATTGTTGATGGGATGTGAATGAGTATTCCGCAGTCGGTAACGCCCGACTGCAACGTTCTTACTTGTTATACCCTGAACCCATTTTCAATGGGAAATCAGGGTATAATGATTTTGTTGAAATGTATGTAACAGGCAAAAGGATGCGGGGCAGACCCCACAAAGTATATATATTCTTGATCAGGGTGACGAGCTGAGTCGATTTGGCCCTGTCCGTCTGTCTGTCCGTCCGTCTGTCCGTCCGTCCGCCTGTCCGTATGTATGCACGCGTCGATTTCCGAAGATATAAGAGCTAGAGACTTCATTTTTTTTTTAAATGTCCGTATTTACAGCGCGGATATCGAGTTTATCATTAAAAATCGATAGCTCATCCCGATCTTTTTTCATCGATAAAAAACCTTATGGAAAACCAGTTATAAAATTATATCTCCTACACCTTTATTGCTAGATTCTCCAAATTTGTTATGTATGCTTATATGCAATTTATGCAATTTCGGTTTTTGTTAAAATTTACCCCCCACCTCTATATCAACCCCCTCATCCTCACTTTTCTAAAAGGTGTATTTCAAATACTAGAGACTTTGCTTTGGATAATACATGCATATTCATGTTGTAAACATAATCTAAAAGTTTCATGAAGATCGTATGTCCGCAAAAAAAGTTATTAAGCAATAAAGTTCTCATAGTAAGCGCACACTGCAGCCCATGCGTGCTTATGCGTGGGTGATTGTGTGTGTATGTGTTTGTGTGTGTATGTGTGTGTGTGTGTGTGTGTGTGTGTGTGTGTATGTAGGCGTGTGTGTTTTTTTTATATTCATTTATTGACAAAATTATATAACAAATTGCAAGTTGCGTGGTGGCTAGGAGCGCGCGGTGCTTGCGGGACGGCCGTAAAGCATTGCTTCGCAAGCACTATGCGCTACCTTAGCCTGGGACAGCTCGTCTTCTCGATCGCTCGACTCTGCGGAGCTCCATCATCACCGTGGCCGCGAAGGTGCTTGTTAGTTCCCAAGCTTCCTCCGATTCCAGCATGGCGTTGACTAAGTTGTCCGCTCTGATGGAGCGGCCCACTGCCTCTTCCAGACGACGCCTCTCCTCCAGGAACCGTCCACATTCGAAAAGAATGTGGTTGGCGTCTTCCACATGCCCTCGCTCGCACCAGGGGCACTCGTCAGATTCCTCGTGGCCAAAGCGCTTCAAATAGCTCCGAAAGCATCCATGACCCGAGAGGATCTGCGTAAGGTAGAAGTTAACCTCGCCATGTTTGCGGTTAACCCATGGTTCAAGCTCCGGGATGAGCTTGTGCGTCCACCGCCCTTTAGCTGAGCTATTCCACCTTCTTTGCCATCGTGCGATGCTGTTCGCCCTGACAGCGTTGAGTCGCGTAGGCCCGTGCGAATTCCGCTCCACGGCTTCGGCGACCAAATACTCCAGTGGCACCATACCGGCTATGACGAGCGCCGCGTCATCGGAGATAGTCCTGAAAGCGCAGCTGACTCTGATTGCGCTCAGCCTGTAGATCGCGCAAATGCCTCGGCTGTAGCTCGGCGTTGCCATCGCTCTTGCCCATATTGGCGCAGCATAGAGGATGACAGACCTAATGACGCTCATTAGGAGGAGACGTCGTTGCTGTTTAGGTCCCCGCGTGTTAAGCATGATTCTCGAGAGAGCTCTACAAGAATCAGCTGCCTTTTTATGCACATATTCTAAGTGCTCGCGGAAAGTTCATCTTGTGTCTATCATGACACCAAGATATCTTATCGCCCTCTTTGACGCAATGGTGACGCTGCCGATCTTTATATTGGCAGTTTCCACTCTTTTGCGACTGCTGACTAGTACAACTTCGGTCTTGTGTGCCGCAAGCTCGAGCCCAGCTCCTGTCAACCAGCTTCGTATGCGATTGATACTTTCGCTGCACATATCCTCTGTATCTTTGAGCTCCTTTCCTATGGCTACGACAGCTACATCATCAGCAAAGCCAATGGTGTGCGCGCCTGCTGGTAGTTCCAAGCGCAGTACGCCGTCGTACATGATGTTCCATAGGAGAGGCCCCAGCACTGAGCCTTGGGGTACTCCAGCTGACACTGTATGAGTTTGGGGACCCTCACTCGTGTTGTATACCAGTGTTCTTCCTCTGAAGTAGCTCTTTATTATCTCTCTTAGATATTTAGGGATATTATATTGTGACAGCGCATTCAGTATCATATCCCAACTAGCTGTGTTGAAGGCATTCCTTACATCCAGGGTCGCGATGATACAGTATTCCTTCGTCGTGGCCAGACCAACAACTTTGTTAAGCGCGTCCGTTGTTGACCGGGCCTTCCGGAATCCAAATTGGTTTGGTGACAGGCCTCCGGCGCTTGCAATCGCAGTCTCCAGCCTAGAGCAGATCAGTTTCTCAAACACCTTTCCCATGGTGTCTAAGAGACAGATCGGTCTGTACGAAGATGGCTCATCTGGTGGTTTGCCAGCCTTGGGTAGCAATACCAGATTCTGGGCTTTCCATTTTGCCGGGAACGTCTCTTGGATCAGGCATTCGTTAAATAATTCGGCGAACGTACTTGGGTGCAAGGCGAGGGCGTGTAGGGTGTGTGTGTGTGTGTGTGTGTGTGTGTGTGTGTGTGTATGTAGGCGTGTGTGTGTGTGCGTGTGTCTTGTGTAAGCTGAAAGAAGCGAAAAATTATTGAAATAGCTATTACTCCAAAGGTTCAGGGGATCTCGTAGTCGAGTAGTCTCGACTACTACAGCTTTCTTACTTGTTTTTAAAATTGTATTATGAGTATTTCAGATGCACTCAATGAAAAAAAGTTAAAGGCATAGCGGGACACAGAATATCTCTTAGTCGGGCTTCACCAACAATGGTTTCTTAAAGAAACCCGTTTTAGTTTTTAACAAAAATATAATTATATGGGAACATATTTTGTTGCCCAAATATCGAATATTTTGTGCGATATTTTTTATATACAATATTTGTGCTGGTCACTCCTGTAATAAATGAACCAATTGTGAATGTACAAAAATTTAATATGATGAAAACGTATTATTGTGACTTTAATATTGGAACAGCTAAATGTAATTGCTGTGAAAACAAGTTAGCTAACACATTAAATATGGCGTCGCATATAAAAAACAAGCACTATGATGCTTTTGAGTACCGAGTACTGGAGACCGCTTACTTTTTCATTTAAGTAATAATTTGTTATTCTTATTAATCCTCCTTTTTGGGACGAATTCTAAATTTATTGTGGGAAAAAAGTTTTTAAAAAACTATCGAAAAATATGTATACATCGATATTTTTAAAGTTGCATGAAAATATCATATTGATATTAATCAAATCCTAAAATGACATCAATACGATATTCTTAAAATATACGACAGTACTAGTTTTTTACTTGATTTTATACCATGGACCCGTAAAAAATTAAAAATCAGGG